GCGGGCGGGGGAGAGAGAGAGACTTTTCCAAGAAATAATATTTTATAGCTGGCTGTCTTCATAGCATTTGTTTTGCCCCCAGAAAAAGAAAAATCCATAAGGTTTAAAAGAGACAATAACATCAACAATTAAAGGAGGGAAAGGAAAGTAAAACTGAAAAATGACCAAGCTATGCAGAATTACCTTTCTATCGGAACTGCTAGATACAACGCCAACAGATGCATCAAAAAGAGGCCCGCTAGCGACATCAGTAGCATTGGTTCGTTTCAAACACATGTCAATACCAGTCTCTAGGTGGTGTAAAAATTCCAAGTCCTTCACAAAAACATCGGCAAGTAGATTACCAACATCATGGAAATCCTTCCTGAGATTATCTATACCAGATTTGAGACCCTTAAGTTCAGATAATTGATTTCTCTGGTCCAAAGAGTGAACATTATAGAACTCTTCAAGACGTGAAAGAGCTTCAAGTTTAGCAGCTTCTGCTACGTCCCTTTCTTTAGAGAGTTCAGAAAGTTCGGAAGCAGCATTAGCTAGCTCTTCTTGAAGACTATCATTTCTCTCTTGAACTTCATTCAATTCTGCAAGTAGTAGCTCTGCTGCTCTTTTAGATTTCCTCGACTCTTCTACTGAAAAAGCCACATCAGCACGCAAATCACCCCACAATTTCACAATTTGCTCAAATTTCTTGATTGGGTCACCATAATTAACTCCATCTCCAACATCAACCTCAGCTAAAATATTCAGAATCATGCTCAGAGTATGTCCTGTCTCCTGCAAGTGCTGCTCAGTTTCTGTCAAATGATTCTTTAAGAATAGAATCTCAGATTCTAGAACTTTTACCCTTTCTGGATAAGTGGATAGCTCCCCGAACTTCCTTTCATACTCCGAAAGTCTATTTCCCCGGATGTCAATCTCAGCTTTCAAGTTTTCCAGTTGAGCATTCATCTCTTCAATTGTCTGTTTCAGACTGTCACGCTGTTGCACCAATGACTTCCCTTTTCTAACAGCAACATTTAACTTCTCTCTCACAGAAGCTGACTTCTGCTCCTCCTGATTAAGAAGCAATTCCAACTCTTCCGTTCTTTTTACCAGAGCTTCAATTTCACAAGCCAAAGAGCGTTGCTTCTCAACGTACCCATCTCTCTCATCCTTTACATGGGTCAAGTCACTCAAAGCTTCCTCAAGCTCTTTCTTCAAGATAGCGATATCTGATTCCCCACCATCAGGTTTACTTATGCTTTTTGCTTCTTCAGTCATCATCACATCTGTCTGAAGCCCCTCAACTGCACGATCAAGAACAGTTTTTTCTGAAGAAAAGTTTGCATAGTTGTCTAACAGCTTTCTTAGTAACACTTCTAAGTTCTCAATGCTGCTGCCAGAAGAAACCTGATCTTGCATCCCAGGATCCTGCAAAACATCACTAACTAAACTCTGCAATCTTCTTATTTCACCTTCTATACTAAGAATGCACTCCTCGTTCCCACGCATCTCAGCCACATTCTCCTGCAAATTAGTTACTTCATTCTGCAGCCTTCTGTTTTCAAATTCAACCTCAGCTACCTTTGCTGAAAGGCCCTCATGATTCTCCTGAAAACTTGTCACTTCACCCTGCAATCTTTTGTTCTCGACTTCATATTGGGTCGCCTTTGATGAAACTTTATCATATTCGTGACTAAGGATATCCAATCTTTCAGAAAGAAACCCTTTTTCTTTTGAAATTGCTTCAAGGTTTGACTCGAGTTCATATATCCTTCTCTGTAAGTCTTCCATATCAGTATTCAGAGTTCCACAATAGGTTTCTAAATTAACAACCTTCTGCTGGAGATACATACTATCATGATGTGCTTCTGAAAGTGCTCTTCCTAACCACTGAATCCTATCTTCTGGTTCCACAGAACGCAACTGTGATGGCATATCAATCCTATCCAAAAGTTCTTCCCATTTCTGAACCAAGTTGTTCCTCTCCATTAAAGATTGCTCCAGCATGTCATTTTGTTCAGCAAGACCATAAAACTTGCTTTGAAGCTCCTCATATTTCCTTTTTAAATCTTCACCTGACATTGAACTTGACTGTGCGTCATCTTTCCAGGGTTCCATCACAACAAAACCAGCATCAGAATATGAACCTCCTCCTGCAGAACTCTTCTGATCCCAATCAGTAGGAGGCAAAACGTTACCAGTAGCTGACCTCGCTAGCCAATCAACCTTTTCAATAATATCTCTGGAATGAAACTGCTCGGGCAGATCTAGGTCTTCTAAGATCTCTTCTATCCTCTGAAGTACAGAATCCTTGAGCAGAAACGACTCTCTAAGTGCAGTAGCCGAGTTGCGAATGTATGAAAGCTCAGACTCAAGAGCTTCAACACGCTCACCTGCCTCTGAATACGTCTTCAATTTTGTTTCAACCTCGTGAAGCCTGGCATCTTTCAACTGAAGTTCCTGCAAGTACCTCTCAAGTTCACTAGACGTCTCTGCTAGGGATTGCTTGAGACCATCTCGCTGCACGACCAGACCTTTCCCCTTAGTAACGGCAATGCTGAGCTTTTCTCTGATGGATAATACACGCTGTTCTGACTGCTCAAGTTCACTTGCTTTCTTTTGTAGTCCAGAACCAGCAGCAAATAGAGATTCCTGTACCTGATTCAGACTTTCCTTGAGAACATAGATTTCAGTTTCATGCTGAAGACACAAGGCTGTTAATTGTTGTACTTCTTCCTTCAGTTCAGTTAATTTCAACGCCTTGGATCCAAACTCTTCTTTAGATAACCCTAACTTCACATCAGCCTCTTTGTAGTTCTGAACAAGAATAGAGAGCAATGATTCAAAACGTGAAGCAGGCACTTTATCTGAGTAAATCTTGGCATCTTCCAGTTTTAGAACACCCTCAACATCTGTAATTAATTTGCAAATAACATTTTCACTAAGGCACCCTCTGTTTAGTTCCTTAAATTCCTCTCTTCTTTCCATCAACTCCAAATTTAAGTTCTTGATAACAGATTCAAGCTCCAATCTCTCACTCAGAAAATGCTCCAGCTGTCCCATAAAAGTCTCGTAGCTACGATAATCTAGAGGATCTAGAAGCTTCTCATTTTCGGTGCTTATCTCACTTTCATCCACAGATCCATGCAAACGCACAAGTTTTCTAAGGTTACCATGTATGTCATGCAATATGCCAAAAGCAATATCATTCTTCTGATGCAAATCATCACACCTCACGTTCACTTCTTTGTAAGATGTGCAAATTACTTCATAGTCGGTGTGAGCAGCTTCAAGCTTCTTCTGCATATCTTCAATCACTTTAGTGGTAGAATTGACTGCAGCAGCAACAAGGCTAACTACATCCGATCCATTATCAACGGCTGAGACTGTTAAACTGAAGTTCCCAACCGATTCACCAAGCTTCTGGACTATTTCAACAACCTGAGCAAGAATAGAATTCCAATCTTTTTCAAGCATTAATACCCTTTCAGAAACTTCTTTTTGAAGATCTTCCAAGCGAGTACTGATCACAGCTGTTTTCTCATTTGAAGTTTGTTGTAAATCATACAATTGCCTCTGTAAATCACCAATTCTCAATTCATATGCACGTAGCTTTGAACCAAATTCGGTGTTTTCTATCTTGAGATAAGCAACTTCCTTTTTAGTAGCTTCACATAAAACCACAAGTTCATTGTTTGTCGCTTCAACACTGCTCCCATGTTGTTTTATTACTTCACATTGAACTGCAAGCTCAATGTTGGATGCTTCCAAATTTTTGCTGTGGTCCTCCAAGGCCTCATACTGATCTTTCAGCTCCCCAACACTGACTTCGGCGGTTCTCCGACCATCACGTTCACCCTTTAACATTACAAAGGCATCTGCAACATCCACAACTAAATGCTCATATAGTGCTCTCAAGGTTTTAATTTCCTCTTTCGTCAAGACAAATGGATCTCCCGCTGTTGATTTATTTTCAGTTAAAGGCATTTCCTCTGCTTCATGTTCATCAATATGCACCTTTGACTCAAAAGCCTGAATCAGTTTAGACACCGCAGGTGCAGGCAACTTGCCACCTGGCTTGCTAAATGATGCAGAAAAGGTGTGAACCCGTTCAATATCCTTTTCAAGTTGATGCAATGTCTTCTCCATCTCCTCTAAGTGTCCCTTCAAGGCAACGACGCATAAGGAATCATAAAAACCTTCTTTCTCAACAAAAACATGGAATGTTCGTGTTGAATTGCCATCACATAGAGGCTTCTGAACAGAAGAAGAGCAAACTTCAGGGACTTGCTTCCCCAAAATACCAAAAGAATCCTCGCCAACAATTGCATTTTCATCGTCCTCTCTTCGTGCTTCTGAAATTTCAACCTGATGCACAGATTCCCTGCTTTGAACATGCATTTCAAGTCTGTTGCTATCAGCCTCTATTAGAGTTTCTTTATGAATGTCCAAACTGCTCAAAAGAACACTGTTTTCCTTTGTTAGTTGTTCAAGGCGCATTGTAACTTCTTTCAGTTCAACCTCAACCCTCTCTCGTTCCCTTTTTTCATTGGATGATTGCTCTTGAAGAATAAGTAGTTCTGACGAAAGTCTGTCACTCTCAAGAGCAAAAGACTTCTTGTCATCTTCAAGCTTCTTCCTCTCTTCTGTTACAAGAGTGAGGCTCTCCCTTAAACTAGAATTATCCTGCTGCAAAGCTAAGCCCAGTTCCTTAATGTCAGCAAATTCTGTAGATAGCTTCTCATGCTCACGGGACAAGTTTTCCTTCTCCTCATCAAGCATCTTTTTCTCTGCTGCCACTGAAGACAAATCAGTAGTTAAGTTGGAGTTTTCCAACTGTAGAGCAGCCACTGATTTCTTGCAGTCATCTAACTCTGTTAGAAGCTTCTTATTCTCCTCAAAATAAAAATCTTTTTCCTTGCCGAGTGTCCTTCTCTCTTCAGTGACTAAAGCAATAGTAGCATTCAAATTTTCATTTTCCACCTGTAAAGATGCCACCAACTGCTTGCTGTCAGCTAACTCCGTTGACAAGCTCAACAAATCCCCCTGTGACCTCTCCAGATGGATCTGCAACTCATGTGCTCTAGCAGATAATTCTTCAACCTCAGCTTTCGATGTATGAAATAGGTTTTGGAGCTCCTCCCTTGCACTAAGAGAAGCCTGGAGTTCATGCCTGCACTGAGAAAGCTCTTCTGTAAGACACTGGTTCTCTGTAGTGACTTCTTTTAGCAAATCATTACGCCGACATATTTCTTTTTGTGATTGATGAAACTCGTGATCAAATTCCACTTGTAGATTAGAGTGTTCAGCAAGTTGCAACTGAAAAATATCTTTTGTAAAATTTGTGAGAAACAGTTCTTCTTTGAGCCTCTCCAATAGATGTCGAGTACCATTGTCTGGTATTGTCAAATTATTAGCCCCAAGTTCTCGACTGGAAACCAGGTCTCTCGACTTAAGTAGAAGAACATACTTTTCTTCACTAAGCCCCCTAAACAAGTCTATGAGCTGAGGGAGACTGATCGAGCTCAAATCTGGACAAGGAGACGTAATCAACCCAATGGCTGAACTCGCCAAATTGGTTTCCATAGGCTTTTCATCATTGTCCAACCTATGTTGCTGATTATACCCCTCTGCAACTCTCTCATATCCTGTACCATCTTCAACCTCATCTCTTTTTCGTTCTCCAAATTCATCAGACCTAAATGATGGTTCAGACTTCTCTTCATCAATTGAAGCTAGCATAGCACTTGAGCTTTGCTGTTCTACTTCAGCAGGACTAACGCTTGAAATATTTGCCTTAGATGAAACCAGTGCAGAACCTGAGAGATCATCTGACATGTTTGCACCATCTGAAGTGGATACTTCATCTATCATTCTAATCTGCTCAGTTTCACATGATGCATTCACGCTAGACTCTGCTAGAGACGTCCCCAAAATAGCTTCCGCACTCCCACCAACCTTGGACAAAGGAAGCTTGTTATCTCCGTCGAGCTTTATTTCACCGTTATGATCAGAGTGTCTGCCCTGCAAACCATCAGCTTCCTGCATTGCCCTTACCCAGAAACAAAAGGGAACATAAATTATACATCAAACCCGCATATTAGTATCCCTAATCTATGGAAGATAACATGTTTAAGAAAAAATAAAAGTTCCCCTCTTCATCAACATATCAATATTCCTTGTCCATTACCTACACAAGGTCCCAAAAAAAAGTAAAATAAAAAAAATAAAATCACCACCTATATATATATATAATATAAATGGGGAAAAGCAAAAGGAGAAGGGAACAACCTAAATAAAGTCACCACCTATAGTTCTCAAACATAAGAAATATAACAAAAATAAATGGGGAAAAGTAAAAGGAGAAGAGAACAACCTATATCTGTTACCTGATCATCCCTCGCCGGCGTCAAGGATGTACGAGGAGTATCCTCCCGTAGAGGCATTGACTTATCTTCAGATTCAGCAGTAACTGCTACTAGTGTAGAATCAACTGATGCAGGTTGCATTATCAAATCAACCGGTACAGTTGGATGACTGTAATTGGTTTCCCCTCCGGAATTGATAGAATCTGAATCAACCAGAGGCTTAACTCTTGCCACCTCAACATCTGCCGTTACAGCATCTGCCCCTTCATTTTGGGGTAGAGAATCAACGTCAAGCTCACCATCGCCCGCCCTTGGTGTTGGTAACTCATTGCCAGACATTAGCATTTCATTGACACTAGACTCCTGAGCACTGGGCACTGCAGATAGATCGTCTACAGCAACATGAGGGTCAGGTGCCACATTCTCCACAGAGTCAGCACTCGATGCAACTTCCCCTTCCGGGACCGAAGACGGGGATGTAGGTTTAGCAACAGTTGACTCGACATCGGCATCAGGTTCCCACTGCTCTGATTTGCCAGACTTTTTTGTGGATTTTCCTTGGCTTGCAGTCCCTTTATTATCCTTTTTCTGGCGAAATTGTTGAAGCTGATGATAAACATACAAAGAACAGAATTAAACGGCAAAAACTGTATACCATGCGATACATGAGGAAATATCATAGATTCTCAAAAAGGAAAAATAATGGCAATTTAGCTTAGATCACATAATCTCCCGCTTTTATAAGAACAGAAATTCCATTATCGTTTTATATCAAAGAACCAGCACATTTGACTGTTAAGAGCGTACCTTCTTTCTGCCCGCGGCAAGCAGATCGGTTCGGTTCTTGTTCTTGTCCATCCAATCCACTCCGATATCAGTCCAATACTATGGACTCTCGAATCACCTCCCCCCAGTCTCAATCACCATTAATCCTAAACCATACAACAAAATCGAATCATCATTTATGGCACCAAAAACACACTTTTTCATTCACCGACAAAATTTCAGCAAACAATTTGAAGCTAAAAACGTTACTTTCGGAAATGAGAAACACGCCTAAACAAAAATTCATCAGAAAATTTTCCAAAAACCAAAATCTCCATTTCCTTTGCCATTCTTCTCGGCATCAATACCAAACACACAAAAAATCAAAACTTCTGACACTAAACCAATCTAACTCGGCCTCGACAAACCCTAACAACAAACCCAATCCGTTCAAGCAGAAACAAAAAACCAGTTTTACCGATTCGCGAAACACCGGAAACAGATTTGCCTCCAGAAATCATAGAATGAATGCGTACCTAATTATGGTTCCACGGCTAGCTGGATCTGCCGAGAAAGTTGGAATTAGGGATTTTGTGAAGCAATTGGTTTGGATTGGTTTCAAAGGGAAATTTCCTCTCTGTGTTCTTTTTTTATTTCTTTTTTTATTTTCTTCCTTTCCGTGTGTTTGGGTAGTGGGAAAATGCGTCTGTCTTGGATCTAACGCAAACTTCGTATTCTTTTTTTCTTTATTACTTTTTCTTTTCTCTGTTATTACCTGAAAGGCTTGTAGGTGAGACGTCGATATAGGGAAAATATGAATTTTTTAAATTATTGGATTGGAAAATAAGAATACACGAAATTGTATAGAATGAACCTTTTTGAGCATCTATTAATTATCGCAGATTTAAAATTATAATTTTATAAAAAAAAATATTATAATAAATTATGTATTATAATTTGAATTATAATATGAATTTTTACTCTAAATGCACTAATAATAATTTTTAACTTATAATTTTTGTGACTAATTAAATTTTATTGACAATCAGTAATTACTGTAATAGTTGTCACGGTAATTATCGTTTCATTAACATAAAAATTAAAATAATTGAAATTAATAATGAATAATCTCTTAGGAATATTCTCGTTAATGTCTTGTAATAACAAAAAAAAAATTATTTCTTTTGAGAGGAGCTGTGATTTTTTTCTTCAAACATATAATCCTTTAAAGGATCAACTTAATTGCATGCATATAAAAAAAATAAAAATAAAAATAAAAATAAAAAACTTAATTGCATATTTTAAAATAAAGTTCCGACACAACGTTTTAGCCGTCTTTTTTTTATAAGCAACGTTTTAACATTATTTTACATGATATAAATGTCGTGTTTGGAATTGATCTCGTTTTTATTTTTTACGTTTTTTGAGGAAAAAAAAATAAAAACATTTTCAAAACGGCATTTGGCGCAATAAAAATAAAAAACAAAAAAAAAATGATTTTTTGGTTTAGTGTAAATTGAAAGAGAAATGAAAAATGACTTTTAGTCATTTTTTATTTTTGTTTTCTCCTCTCTCGAGTAGAGACATAGAAAGAGAGATATTAATGGTTTTTTTTACACTGAAAATAATCTCTTGATAAAATTATCAAATGTATTTTCAAAAATAATTTTTGTTTGAGATTAAAATTTTTTTTTTATTTTTATATAAAAAAATAAAATCATTTTAAAATGAGTTTTAAACGCACGAATAATTTTTTTTGGACTGCAAGGAGAAATTTTCACGAAAGGGTAATGAAAAAAAATTTGCTTCCCTTCTATTTATCTTTTAAAATTAAAGAAAAACAAAAAATAAAAATTTGTTGTCATCTTTTTTTTTCTAAAATAGTAGAAAATAGGCCAATATGAAAAGCTTAAGTAAGTATATAGGCCAACTTTTAGTTATATAAATTAATAGGCCATAACTTGTCAAGTTATGGTTCATAACCAGATAAGTTATGGACAAATTTGTTAAGTTATGGTTCATAGCCAGACAAGTTACGGACATTTTGGTTTAGTGTAAATTGAAAGAGAAATGAAAAATGACTTTTAGTCATTTTTTATTTTTGTTTTCTCCTCTCTCGAGTAGAGACATAGAAAGAGAGATATTAATGGTTTTTTTTACACTGAAAATAATCTCTTGATAAAATTATCAAATGTATTTTCAAAAATAATTTTTGTTTGAGATTAAAATTTTTTTTTTATTTTTATATAAAAAAATAAAATCATTTTAAAATGAGTTTTAAACGCACGAATAATTTTTTTTGGACTGCAAGGAGAAATTTTCACGAAAGGGTAATGAAAAAAAATTTGCTTCCCTTCTATTTATCTTTTAAAATTAAAGAAAAACAAAAAATAAAAATTTGTTGTCATCTTTTTTTTTCTAAAATAGTAGAAAATAGGCCAATATGAAAAGCTTAAGTAAGTATATAGGCCAACTTTTAGTTATATAAATTAATAGGCCATAACTTGTCAAGTTATGGTTCATAACCAGATAAGTTATGGACAAATTTGTTAAGTTATGGTTCATAGCCAGACAAGTTACGGACAAAAACCGTGATTTATGGACAATAACTTGTCAAGTTATGGTTCATAATTAAACAAGTTATGAATAAAAACAATAATTTGACCTATTTATTAACTTATATAAACTATTAACCTATTAATTTTAATTAATCTCAAATCTTAACCTATTTTTCTCTTTTTCTTTTTTTTTTTTCTTCTCCTTGCCGGTTATATATGCCCATTGGAATTTTACGACCCACGGATAAATCACCCGTAATTCAATTATAAGCTTAGAAAAGCACGCGCACAGAGAGCCACCCGTAATTCACACTTATGTTGATGTTTGAAGAAATAAATAGTATATTTTAAAGAACTGTAATTCCTATTTTAACCTCAATTTCACCCCTCACTCTCTCCATTCCTCGTATTTCTCTGGATTGCCCCTCTCTATCTCTACTCGAGGCCTTTGTAAAAATAACTCTTTTAAAAAGTTTTATTAGTAAAATAACTTTTCAAAAAATTTTATTTGCAAAATGACATTTTTTTATAAAAAATGAGTAAATGTCTTTCTTCATAAAAAATAGAAGAATGTCATTTTACTAATTTTACTTTGTTGGATAGTCATTCTAACATATTGCCCTCTCTATCTCTACTCTTTCTTTTCATTCATCAGACTCCCTCTCTCTCTCAGCTGCCACTCAACGACGTCGGCCAAGTTGCCGGTGATCGGCCGGAGAAGAAGGCTGGTATAGATCTCGGATCGTGATCTTCAAGCGATCTCCGTCGGATCTCGTCATCGCTCGAGTTCGCGGCTGAAATCTATTCGAGAGAGATAGACGTGCGGAGGAGAGTGAGACGTACGAAGAAGAGATAGCGAGAGAGATCGGAAGGAGAAAGAGCGGGCAACGGCCGAGGAGGCTGCGCGGTATATCCAGCGCGCCAAAGAGATTCGATGCTCGTCGGAGATCTTGACGGAGCTCGTAACCATAACTGTGATGGCGAGTGACAATCGGCAGCGACGAAGCTAGTCTTCGATGTTGGAGACGCTGACTTGTGAGTATCGCTAGATCGAGATTACGGAGTCGCGGCAGCGACGGCGGTCGCTCATTGCCCCCAATTTTCTTAGTTTTGTTGCTTTTATTTGCTGGTTTGAGGTTGCGATGATGATCGTTTGTTCGCGATGGTGGTTGTTAACGGTGAAATTTCGTCAACAGAAATACGTCAGATCACCTTCTGATATCCCGTAAGATTATCGGCTAAAAATTAACTGTATATTTAAAATTATGCTATGAAGTGTTTGTTGTGTTTTGTAAGCATGAATATAACACTTGAATGAGATGACACACGAAATTTATAGTGGTTCACTCTGTTAATGAAGAGCTACATCCACTTATATATGGTATATTTCTTTAAGACTTTTTATAATTTATATGCACGTATCCTTTCTATTGTCTAATGCTTCGAAGAGCTCTTTTTTGGTGTATGGGGCTTTACCCCTTTTATAGTCCAAGCTTCCTTCGTGGGTGGTTTTCCTTCGTAGGTGGAAGTACTCGAGTGGCCTACTTTCTAGGCTAAGACCGTAGCCCACTAATCACCTTTTGGGCTGTTTACTCAGCCAATTGGTCTTCTATTACGGCTCTGTAAATTCCCATAATCTCTTTCTGCCCACTGTAAGGCGGTTTAAGGGTTTGTAATTCATGCCCGTATTGCAAACGTATCCTACTCTTAGACGCAACTTATGGTGTCAGGCATCTTCCCCTCGGCGTCTGTGCCGCACGGATCTTATGCCCTTCTGATCTTTCCGAAGGTTGTTGCATAAACTCGACGGCACAAATGGTCGACGCCCTAATTTGGGCCTTTTTTTGCAGCATCAAGGGGTAGTGAACTCCAAGCATCGAGAGTAGTCGAACTCTAAGTGTCGAGGGTGGCCACCTTTTGAAGGAAAGTAGGACCACGTGTCACGATATCACCGTTCCACCTGTCACCCACATTTTCCCACACAACAGTGATGATTAGTTTGTAGCTACCTTGGTTGGCGGCAGGGGGTGGGAAGAGGTGTGGTCGGTAGCAAAGGGGCCATTGATAACAAGGCTTTGGAGATCTCCTGCTTGGACAATGCAGAAAACGACAACTTTTAAATGGAATTGATCTGATTTGTGTGGTATTTTTTTCTTTGTTTGGCTGAAAATGATGTTCTTTCATTATTTCTTTGGAGTTACCAATAAATATTTTACTGAATATGGTAAATATTTCACTAAATCTGGTGAATTTATTTTCTGTTTTGATAAATACAGTATTTATCATAAAATATTTTACTGAATTTGAATTTAAATATGATAAATATTGTATTTATTAGTAAATATTTTATTAAATAAGTTTAAATTTGATAAATATAATATGATAAATATGGTATTTATCAGTCGTCGAAGTGCTGAACTTTTAGTATTTACCGATAAATATGATATTTACTGATAATACGGTATTTGCCAATTACTAGAGCCGGTCGTCAGATTTTCAGATAAATATGGTATTTACCATCACCAGAGTTGGTCGTCAGATTTTTAGATAAATATGGTAAATACAGTATCCATCACTCGCCGGAGATAGCCGTCAGTCGCCGAAAACATATTAGAGTCTGCCGCCGGTCGCCAGAGCTGGTCATAGTGAACTTGACTATAGGAAGAAGAAGAGATAAATGAAAAAGAAATTTAGAGTTATTTTAATAATATTTAAAACTTAAAACTTTAAATTATGTTATAATCTACTATTTAAAAAAAATGTTATAATTTACTAAACTTCCTACTAAATATATTATTTCTCTCCTTATAAAAAAAAAAAACAAATCTCTGCCATTTTCAAGATATCAGATGTTGAATTAACTGAGAAAATGCTCTTTCTGGAGAATATCGATTCTTCTCCCACCATGATTTTGCAATTATGCTCTTTTTACAAAATATCTTACTGAGAAATCTTCCAAACCTGTTTGAAGGAAACTAAAAGGCCTTATTTACATGAACGAATACCATGAGTAACACATTTTCATTGTACTGGGAGCCTTGGCTACTTTCTGGGGAAGTCTCTCTCTCTCTCTCTCTCTCTATATATATATATATATATATATATATATATATATATTACCGCACGTTTGGTCACAAAATTAAGAGTGGAAATGAACTAAGCAGTCCTAATATCAACAGAGAATTGTTTCCTC